GATCAGGTGGAGGTCAGAGAAACTGCCATGGCGGTGGTTATCTGCCTGAAAAAAGCAACAGAAGCACGTGGTCCTGGCAGTGGCCATGCTATCTGCTTGGGCCCAGTGTTTCTTTGCATCCTGTCCTTTCACTCTCTGTTGCATTACCATTGTGGTGTTCTGGAAGCCTGGGTATCAGAACTCATGCTCAAAAAAGTTTGGTTTCAATCTTGGTAGGGAAAATGACACACCCTTATTAATGCAATATTACTACCAAAAATGTATAACCAGGGTCAAATCATGAGAAACATACAAACCCATTGCTTGGGACATTCTGCACAATATGAGCCTGTATTCTTCAAATAATATTCACGACTGAAAGATAATGAAAAGCTGAGGGACTGTCTCAGATTAAAGGAGTCAAAGGAGATATGACAACTAAATGCAGTGTGTGATCCTGAATCGGAAAAACAAAAATTACTGTAAAGGACAATAATGGGACAATTGGCAAAATTTGGATATAGACAGTATGTTGGATAAGAACATTGTATCAATGTTAAACATCCTGAATTTCATAATGGCACTGTGGTCCTATAATATCCTTGTTTTTAGGATATATAAACTGAGGTGTTTAGGGCTTAAAGGTCATGATGTCGGTAGTATACTCTCAATCCAAAAGAATGTGAATAATAGTGTGTGTGTGCATGCATGTGTGTGTACTTTCTGTCTTAAAAAATTACAATATACTGAAAACAATCTAATGCTTCCTAAATGATTCCAGAGCATGTGGCAATTTGGTATCTCTATCATCGTGGCCATTTTGATGATACAAGTGTGATTATAGAAACTATAAGGGAAGGGCCATGTGTATGTTGAGTCCTAGACATTCTCTAAAATGTGTTTGGTTTCTAAATTCTTTTATCAGCTGCATTTCTTGTCACTTGCTTCTTTTTTCTAGAAATCAAAGGCAGAGGATCTACAGCCATTCACACCTAACTAGAGATGATTCAATAGTATGGCCCAGGCTCATGGTGGCCTTCCTGATACTCCTTGGTAGCATCATCCACTCATTCTGTTTTTCACTGGATGGAAACCAAACTACTTCATTCACCTATTTTCAAGAAACTCAGGCCACTGGCTTAGTAGAGCTCCTCTGCATCACATTAGTGCAGTAAAGTGCTTAGGAAAGCACACAAGAGGCTCAGACACAGAATAATTTAGGTGTCGTGGGCACTGATATATTCAGGAGAAGCAGGGAATTGAGCATTGAGCCTTTTGCTGTAGGGCCAGAATAGAATGAGAAAATTGAGGAAGTCCCTTTTCTCCAACCGTATGTGACATCGGTTATGCCAAAGGAGACCAGAACATACAAATGTCTCCTCCAAGCTAATCAGCACCTTTGCAACTATGGGGGCAGCAGCTGCACATGCATATTCTCTCTGGGTCGTCCATATTCATGGGCACTGAGGGTAGGTCTGACAACACGTGGTTTTTTCCCCACCAGTCAGCTAAATCTAAGTTTTAAATGCAAAGTATGCATTTCGAGGACATTATGTGGATTTGTGGCAGTGCCTGGAGGACTTGGGGCCTATAAAATGAAGAATAAATTACAAGGAAATATAAATAAAGCATTTTCATCAGTGACAGTTATAATGTCACAATATCGAGGAAAACTGGGGACTTTCTGTATATGAGCATGTTCTGCAACTACAAAAAAGTGCATCGCTAAGCAGAAAGTAGAGCGAAAGAAAATGAGGCGACAGTGGTGACATCTCAAAAGCCGCCTGCTTCAGAGCAAAGCAGGATGTGCACAGTTCTGTTTCCCACTAAGCAGAACTGTTTGCATCTCAGCATGAGAAAAGCCGCTGATCTGGAGTTTAACAGAACAGATCTTTTCCAGGCCAGGGAAGTCTCGGTGGGGCGTCTAGTGAGCCCCTGTGTGTCAGGAAAAGGCAGGACCTGGAAGGTTGGATGAACTCACCTGGAGCCTGAGATGATCTGAGGGCTGGCCCAAGGTCCGGGACGTCAGTGTTCTTGTGCATCCAAGGCACTGTCTTACTCAGTTTCCTGCTGCAATCACAGAATGCCACAGGCTAGGTAATTTGTATAGATTTATTTACCATAGTTAGGAGCTAGGAAGCCCAAGAATATGGCTCTGGTATCTGGTGAGGGTCTTCTTGCTGTGTGATTCCACGGAAGAAGGTATAAGCAAGCACACGGACAGAGCAAATGGAGGTCTAACTCACCTTTCTATCAGGAGTCCAGTCCCGTGATAACTAACGCACTCTGCAATAATAGCACTAATTCATTCATGAGGGTGGAGTCTTTATGATCCCATCACTTCCCAAAAGCCTCATCTCTTACTATTACAATGGCATTTAAGTTTTCAGCACATGAACTTTGGAGGACATATTCAAAGCATAGCAATAACTTTCCCTGGAGATCATTTATATCTTCCCAAGGAGACTCTGCAGGCAAAATATACTCCATCAGACTTTCATACCTGCCCTGTTAGACCTTCCCATCTGCCCCCACTAATCTTTATCCTAAAGCATTAGCCAGATATATGATGACCCCACAGTTCTATAGGCTTCTAAACAACCACTTCCCATTTTTACCTACTTATTTCAACATATAACTTGTGTTTAGGCTTCTAAACAACCACTTCCCATTTTTACCTACTTATTTCAACATATAACTTGTGTTAGGACATGATTGGCAGGCTTCAGAATCCATGACTACCCTGGGGCACAGGATGAGGAATTTCTCTGTACTTATGTTTAGGGTTGTGCCCAAAAGCCTACGGTCTGGTATCAGCAGCCTAGAAATCCACAGATCTAAAATCAATTCATACTTCAAGATTGCAAGACCTCAGGTCTATGCCACCCTGCTAATTTTTAAGCATTGTGTTAAGAAAAAAAGTTAACCTATACAAAAATAGTAGCAAAGAACCTCAGTATTTAACAATCATCAGCATTCTGCCTACTCACTTCATCTCTACAATCCTCTCCTCCTTTTTTGCCGAAGTATTTTAAAGCCAATTCCAAACATCATGCTGTTTTACTCCTAAATATTTAAATATGCATCTCAAAAAAATAAGAACACTTCTTTTACATAATCATGAGTCCACTATCATTAACATAATCCAGACTTCCTCAATATCACCGAATTCTTTCCTCATTCAAAGTTCCCTGACAGTCTATAAAATGTCTTTTTGAACTACTTTATTTGGATCAGAATCTAAATGAGGGCTACTCTATTATTTGATGGTATGTCTCTTAAGTAGATTTTACATTTGCGTCTTTTTTAAAAAAATTATACTTTAAGTTCTGGGGTACATGTGCAGAACATGTGGGTTTGACAATAGGTATACACGTGCCATGGAGGTTGGCTGCACCCATCAATCTGTCATCTACTTTAGGTATTTCTCCTAATGCTATCCCTTCCCTAGCCCTCCACCCCGCAATTGGCCCAGTGTGTGATGTTCTCCTCCCTGTGTCCATGTGTTCTCATTGTTCGACTCCCACTTATGAGTAAGAACATGCGGTGTTTGGTTTTCAGTTCCTGTGTTAGTATGCTGAGAATCATGGTTTTCAGCTTCATTCACATCCTTGCAAAGGACATGAAGTCATCCTTTTTTATGGCTGCATAGTATTCCATGGTGTGTATGTGCCACATTTTCTTTAACCATTCTATCATTGATGGGTTAGTTCCAAGTCTTGGCTCTGTGTCTTTTAACAAGCACTATCTCCTCTCTCATTCCCTCTCTCTCTCTCATTGTCTCTCTTTCTCTGTCACTCTCTCTCTCTCACACACACACACAAACACACACACAAAGACACACACACTGATAAAACAAAGTCAGTTGTTCTCTAGAATGTCTCACATTCTGCAATTGGTGGATTCCTACCTTATGGTGTTATTTAACTTAAATCCACTGTATCACTTTGAGATGTGAAGTTAAACCTGAAATCTTGATGAGTTTCAAGTTTAATTTTTTTTTTTTTGGCAAGAATATTTCATAGACAATGCATACCTCACATTGTACCATATCAGAAAGTATATATATATATATATATTTTTTTTTGAGACGGAGTTTCGCTCTTGTTACCCAGGCTGAAGTGCAATGGCGCGATCTCGGCTCACCGCAACCTCCGCCTCCAGGGCTCAGGCAATTCTCCTGCCTCAGCCTCCTGAGTAGCTGGGATTACAGGCACGCACCACCATGCCCAGCTAATTTTTTGTATTTTTAGTAGAGACGGGGTTTCACCATGTCGACCAGGATGGTCTCGATCTCTTGACCTCGTGATCCACCCGCCTCGGCCTCCCAAAGTGCTGGGATTACAGGCTTGAGCCACCGCGCCCGGCCCGAAAGTATATATTTGATTATCTTATTTTGGTGATGTTTATCTAGGGTTGATTTGTTTGTTTCAAACTGAAATTAAACATTTCCATTCAACCAAAATCAAAACTGTAAAACAAAGTGCATTCAGAGAAGTCTCACATCTATCCCTGCTTCTCTATCTGGTCTCTTGCCTCTTCTTAAAAGCAATCAGTTTTTGAGTTTTTGCATGGTTTGTTTTAACAAATGTAAGAAAATTCACGCATACCTTTCTTACACAAAAGGCATACTCTGTACAGTATCCTACATACTGTGTACTATATACACTATGTATATTGTTCCGCACCTTGCTTTTTTCACCTTGAAATAGATCCTGGATATCACTCCAGATCAATATATGAAGATTTTTTTCAGCTTCAGAGAATTTCATTTTGTGAATGTACTATATTTTGTTTAAGTAGTCCTATATTGATTAATAGTCTGATTATTGTCAATCATGTTATTACAAAAAAGCACTACAGTTAATAATGTGCATACATCATCTTGTTTTTGGCAAGTGTATATTTGGTAAAGATCACTGGAAGTATGATTGCTGCTTGGAAGGTAAAACATATAATTTTGCTAGATAGTCAATCAAATTATTAAGTCTAATGTTTATTTACCTTGTTTCTCCCACCAGAAAGAAGCCAACAAAACATATAACTGTGAAAATTTAGGTCTAAGTGAAATCCCTGACACTCTACCAAACACGACAGAATTTCTGGAATTTGGCTTTAATTTTTTGCCTATACTTCACAATAGAACCTTCAAGAGACTCATGAATCTTACCTTTTTGGATTTAACTAGGTATGTATCTGAGTTATTTAATATAAGATGTTTTACTTAAATAAAAATACAGTATGTGTTCAATTCATTTGCAGGACCTTCTTTTGGGGTCCAGGGACAATCTGCTTATACTCATGTTTAAACTTTCCCATAAAATACTTCTATTTCTGTGGGTGAAATGTAATTTAAATAAACATCACCAATGGAGAATAAAGTGAATTGCTCTCAAACTAGTTGCATCAGTAGTACTGTTGGAGCAGTTCTAAGGAATACTGATGATAAAAATGAAAATAATCTTGTACTAAATCAGATGCCAAACTACGCTAAATTTTGGCATAGTGTATTTTTGGATAATGACATTTAAGAAAACTTTAGAGGAGAAAAGCACACTGTCTACCATTCCCACCTACAAATTGGAAAATGATTTCCATTATTTTGTTACAGTGGCAGAATTGAGATTCCACATGCTGAGCCAGAGTTTGAGAACCAGTAGGCAGAAGTATCACAAGAAAATAAGGGAAGAGTCTGGGCACGGTGGTTCATGCCTGTAATCCCAGCACTTTGGGAGTCCAACGTTGGCAGATCACGAGGTCAGGAGTTTAAGACCAGCTTGGCCAGCATGGTGAAACTCTGACTTTACCAGAAATACAAAAAATTAGCTGGGCATGGTGGCACGTGCCTGTAATCCCAGCTCAGTAGGCTGGGGCAGGAGAATTGCTTTAACCTGGGAGGCAGAGGTTGTAGTGAGCCAAGATCGTGCCACTGCACTCCAGCCTAGGCAACAGAGTGAGACTCTATCTCAAAAAAAAAAAAAAAAGATAAAGAAAATAAGAAAATGAAAGGGCTGTACTCTGTGTGTGTGTGTGTGTGTGTGTGTGTGTGTGTGTGTGTGTATAAGGGGAACAGGCTCTGCATGCACATGCAGTCTGCACCCCTCACAGCAGTGCTACTTCTATTTTGTCCTTCACCTTCAGCTTCTGTGGACAGAATGTCTAAATCCATAGTATCGTTTCATCTTTACAACCACCACTGTGAGGTTCCATGGTGCATATTATCATCCAACTTATGGTTAGATGAGGAGGCCATCTGTGTATGTGTGTGTGTGCGTGTGTATGGGTACTTCAGTATTTTTAGGTGGAATACCAGAATGGTTTTCTCAGATGAAAATACAGAGGTTGAGAAAAGATGTAACTTGCCCAGGACAGCACAGATTTTTGTATTTATATGTTTTATATCCTATATTCATATATTATTTATTATGCATTCTATATGATATATTTTGTATTACTTAAAACAGTAAATAATAGTTTGATTTTTGCCCACAATCAAATGACCCATGGTTCTTTAGAATACAGGCACAAATCTCTGAGGGTTCGACCTAAGGGGTGAGACACCTGGAAAAAAATCTAAATCAGAGTGTTCAGAAGTGAGGCTATTCATTAATTCCTTCAAGAGGCCATCTGTTGATACTGAAGAAAGTTTTTATGTTTGATTTTGAATGATACAAAAGATGACTTTGTTAATATGTGTCACTGTGAAGTTTTTTTTTCTTTTTTCAAATTAATTATTGTTAAATACGATTATCTTTTCAAGGTGCCAGATTAACTGGATACATGAAGACACTTTTCAAAGCCATCATCAATTGAGCACACTTGTGTTAACTGGAAATCCTATGATATTCATGGCAGAAACATCACTTAATGGCCCCAAGTCACTGAAGCATCTTTTCTTAATCCAAATGGGAATATCCAATCTCGAGTTTATTCCAGCGCACAATCTGGAAAACTTGGAAAGCTTGTATCTTGGAAGCAACCATATTTCCTCCATTAAGTTCCCCAAAGACTTCCCAGCACGGAATCTGAAAGTATTGGATTTTCAGAATAATGCTATACACTACCTCTCTAGAGAAGACATGCGGTCTCTGGAGCAGGCCACCAATTTAAGCCTGAACTTCAATGGCAATGATGTTAAAGGTATTGAGCCTGGGGCTTTTGATTCAACAGTCTTCCAAAGTTTGAACTTTGGAGGAACTTCAGATTTGTCTGTTATATTCAATGGTCTGCAGAACTCTACTACTCAGTCTCTCTGGCTGGGAGTGTTTGATGACACTGATGATAAAGACATTAGTTCAGCCATGCTCAAGGGACTCTGTGAAATGTCTGTTGAGAGCCTCAACCTGCAGAAACGCCATTTCTCTGACTTCTCATCCACCACATTTCAGTGCTTCACCCAAATCCAGGAACTGGATCTGACAGCAACTCACTTGGCAGGGTTACCCTCTGGGATTAAGGGTCTGAACTTGCTCAAGAAATTAGTTCTCAGTGTAAATCATTTTGACCAATTATGTCAAATCAATGCTGCCAATTTCCCCTCGCTTACACACCTCCACATCAGAGGCAACGTGAGGAAGCTTAACCTTGGTGTTGGCTGTTTGGAGAAACTAGGAAACCTTCAGACACTTGATTTAAGCCATAATGACATAGAGGCTTCTGACTGCTGCAATCTGCAACTCAGAAACCTGTCCCACTTGCAGACCTTAAACCTGAGCTACAATGAGCCTCTCGGTCTCCAGAGTCAGGCATTCAAGGAATGTCCTCAGCTGGAACTCCTGGATTTGGCATTTACCCGCTTACACATTAATGGTCCACAAAGTCCCTTCCAAAACCTTCATTTCCTGCAGGTTCTGAATCTCACCTCCTGCTTCCTTGATACCAGCAATCAGCATCTTCTAGCAGGCCTACCAGCTCTCCAGCATCTCAGCTTAAAAGGGAATCACTTTCAAGATGGGACTATCATGAAAACCAACCTGCTTCAGACTGTGGGCAGCTTGGAGATTCTGATTTTATCCTCCTGTGATCTCCTCTCCATAGACCGGCAAGCATTCTACAGCCTGGAAAATATAAGCCATATAGACTTAAGCCACAACAGCCTGACATGCGACAGTATTGATTCTCTCGGCCATCTTAAGGGAATCTACCTCAATCTGGCTGCCAACAGCATTAACATCATCTCATCCCATCTCCTCCCCATCTTGTCCCAGCAGAGCACCATTAATTTGAGTCACAATCCCCTGGACTGCACTTGCTCAAATATTCATTTCTTAACATGGTACAACGAAAACCTGCACAAACTTGAAGGCTCAGAGGAGACCATGTGCGCAAACCCGCCACCTCTAAGGGGGGTTAAGCTAACTGATGTCAAGCTGTCCTGTGGGATTACAGTCGTGGGCATTTTCTTTCTCATAGTATTTTTATTATTGTTCACTATTCTGCTCTTTCTTGCAGTTAAATACCTTCTCAGGTGGAAATACCAACACATTTAGTGCTGAAGGTTTTCAGGGAAAGCAAATAAATGTGCTTAGCAAAATTGCTGTAAGTGAAGGAACTGTCATCTGCTGGTGACCAGACCAGACTTTTCCGGTTGGTTCCTGGAGCTGGGCAGGGACTCACTGTGCTTTTCTGAACTTCTTACTCCTGTAAGTCCCAGAGCTAACAAACCTTTAGGCAAGGACACCAACTCAGGCCAGAGAGCCAGACGCTGCTGTGAGAGGCACAGAGCCCTTTCCACATGTGGGAGGTGGGAGGAAGCAGAGGGAGGGGCTGGGCAAGAACTGCCAGCTGGGAGTCACCCCCGGGGAGGCTGTCACCCTTCTACTCACCGACATCCCTCCCAGCACCCCACACCCTGCCCCTGAAAGGAGATCATCAGCCCCCAAAATTTGGCAGGGTGGAAGCCAGTCCTGCTACCCGCCTACCCAACCCGCACCTAGAGCATTGTGCTTGGGTCTGGGTTCTCAGTAATGTAGCCATTTGGGAAACTTAGCTGGAGATAAAGTCTTAATGCTTATTTTAAATAAAAAAAAGAAAAACACAGTAAATTTAAAAGAAAAGACTGAAATGAAACTTGGTATCAAATAGACTCCATTCATCTTCTTGATCCTTAGGTCTGTACGGTTTCTATAATGCCCCTAGGGTGTGAATGGCTATAAAAAAAAAAAAAAAAAAAGAACTCCCCCACCCCCCCAATCCCAAGGTTTAGAATTTCTGCCACATTTGCCTCACTCAGTTCAGAAAATAGGCAGAGATAGGCTCTCTCTGCCTATCTGGTCTTCTGGCTCTTACCTTACAGATCCTAACTTGCAGGTGGGCTGTGATGCAACACGCGCTTCTCATTCAGGCATTCGGTTCTTAGAAGATGCTTTCCCAGCAGAACCGTGAGATAAATGGTGGTTCGGTTCTCAGGTTGGCCCTTAGAAGCCTGTTTGCTTTGGAGAACATTTGAAATAGCACATTTACATGAAAACTAGGAAGAAGACATCCCTGCATGCTAGCTGTTGGCAACATAGTAAAGCTGGCTTAGTGAGAAGTGGTTTCTGTTGAGGCTGGGGATGTCAGCAAAGGTCACACCAGCAATGTACAGGGGCCTGGACCATTGAATGAAGAGAGACAAAGAGCAATGTCATGACTTAGGCCTAAAGGGCCGTATCACACAGGCTTCTATCTTCTGAAGTCTTGATTGCCAGACAAGCTGGGCGGGAGTTCCTGGATAAGGCCTGGATTCAGATCCATACCCAATTTTAGGGTAGCGATAGAGATGGTAACTTATAGTTATGAAATTCCGATAGACTATCAAAGTAAAAATTGATCAAACCAACCAGAATATATTTGCCCTTAGGTTGAGGGCATACTAGTGGGACATCAGAACAGAGTGGAAACTCGGGGGTCCTCTTTGTCTCTTCACCCCCAGGAAAAGCAAGACAGGCAGGGAACAGGAGTGGGTGAAGCTTCTCCCTGCTCAGGGATTTTCGGCCTTGGAGTCTGCTTTTTCCTTTGCCTGGAAGATGCTGCTACTGGCCTCCAAATGGTTCGTGCCCTCATCTCCTTGAGATTTCAGTGCTAATATTTTCTTCTCTCAGAGAGCGCTTCTCTGACCTAGCTAATCCAAAGCAACCTCTATGCATCACCCAATTCACTCTCATAGCAGCGGGTTTTAGCATTTTTATAATGCTTACCAGTGTTTGGAATTACTTTCTTCATCTGTTTTAATTCATCTGTCTTGTCTCTCCCAAATACAAGCTCCATGAGAGGGTCTTTGCCCAAGGATATCCTAGAACATGCCTGGGACATAGTAAGGACTCAAAATACTTTTAGTATGCTCTAAGCCCTGAGCCTTGATGGCTTCTAGTTCTGCCACCATGCCTGTCCTATTGACTCCTGCTCCTGACATCTCCACTGTTTCCTGGGCCTCCCACATGTTTTTCACTGGAATATTTTAGGAAAGTCTGTACAAAACGGATTCCCAGGCCTCACCCTCAGATACTGAGATTCTGTTGGACTGAGGTTGGCTCTGGATTCCCAGCCCAATGATTCCATGTAAAATCCCTCCCTATTCTCAGTTATAAATGTATTCCTCCTGCTTTTCCCATCTTAGAGTGTGGAAGGTCCACACTCTAAGAATCCAGTCTTAGACAGCATCAACCCATTGAGTTCCTGCATATTCTATCAGATGTAAGCTCTTTCTTGCCTTAGGGATTTAAACTGCAGATGGAGTATATTAATTACTGATTTATCGACCCATAGACATGCTGCCCTCCATAATATTTAATATGTAACTTGGAAAAACAAGACAATGAAAGAGACCCAAGCCTTAGCAAAGCATAATGGTCCATCCTGCTTTCCCTTCTCAGGCCCACTCCCTTCTTCTATGTGATGCAGCTTGCTGCTCCGTAACTGATCTAAGGCTTTGTGACAGCGCCTCTGTTTTAACCAACAGTAAATTCACCCCACAAAGTCAGAAAGGGAGCTTTTTGATGGCTGCTGTCAATTTTATTGCTTTATCCTGTTTACTAGGATAGAATCCGTAACATGGTGTGTTTATTGGTTTTATGTATTGCATGTTGTTGCTGCTCTGACAAGCTACTCCTATAAAAATGTGTTATTATTGCACGATGTAGCTCAGTGAACTGACCCTGCATTTCAAAGGGTACTGAAGCAAATATCATTGAAGTCCATAAAAGCTGACTGGCCTCCATCACAGAGGACTTGCTGCATGAGCTGCAACTCCTACAAGCTGAGGGAGAATTACATCTTACCCTGTGCCAGCAGCCGCTAACCGAGTACAGCACAGCCCTGAACCCAAGCATTATCTGTAAAATTCCAAGACAGAAACTGTCATTCCATTCTTATTTGTCCATCTCTCTAATCAGTGTTGTTTGCAATTTTGATACCTACAAAAGTATGAAACAAGCGGCTCTAGAATGTTTTCCTGTATTAGTATAGTGTGCAAGATGGGTGGCTGATGTTGTTTGGCCCTGAATGCTGAATAGAAACTTGAATTATAGCAAGAAGGGGTGTGGTTGTTTCTTAGCAAGTCATGACTGGGGGTGTCCTGGGTGTTGGGCTGGAGTTGGTGGCCTGACACATTAAGAGTGTGAAGGTCTAACATGGTAGGAGTTAGCCTGAAGGCTGTGGAGGAATTTGCTACTCCAGTTTAACAACAGAATAATTCGGGGACTTCTTTACAAAACAGATTCCGGTGCTTTGCCCCTAGATATTGGGCTTCTGTTAGACTGGGATTGGCCCTGGACCCTCAGCTATGTAAAATCTTTCCCTTATCTTAATGTTATCAAACAATAGCAGAAGCATATGTTAGGCCCCATGAGTCAAATGAGCTGGAGAATTGCTTTATATCCCATAAGAGGAAATTTCTTAACAAAATGGGGGAAAAGCGCTAAGGAACCCTCAAATCCAAGGTTGAAATGTCTTGGTCAGGAGCTCATTAGTCCCTTCTGCCAACACCACCAGACTCCAAGACCCTGCTCCTAAAGCCACCCTGCTCTCACACCCACCCCTACCCACTCTACCTTATCCTAGCTATTGGCAATTTGAAATCATTTTTTGAATACCATGGAACTTGATAAAGGAAAGAATTAATTTACATATTTTATTTAAAAGCTGTTATTGCTCATGAACGATTAAGCAATGAAGTTCATTGAACACCATCCTCCAGTCCTCCCCATCTTTGGTTAATGTTTTCTGAGCTCTTGGCTAGATCCTGCAAAGGTAAGCAGAGGACAAGTGGCCACCAGAGCATCTATTCCATCTCCTCTACCCTTCATGTTGATTAATGGGTTTTCTAAATAAATTGGGTCTCCCTTTTTCTCTTTCTCTCTTCCTTAGAGAGAACCTAAGTGTGCAACAATAGATAAATGATTAAGTATATTAGATGATCTGAATGCATGTGGAGATATTCCATGCTCTTAGGTGTAACAACTTAACACTAAAAACATGTTGATTCTATTAGCAATCAGAGAAATACAAGTTAAAATGAGATAAATGTTTATATTTGTTGGATTGGCAAAAAGAGAAAGCCGAGTGATACTGTAGTTGTGGCTGTGTGGTTTCCGGAACTACATGTCCTGATTATGGGGGTGTAGATTGGTACAGTCATTCTAGGACCATCTGGCAACAATGAATCAAATCAACTATATTACCCACAAGCTGCTCTGAGGTTGTAGCCCATTGCAGCATTATTTGTGGAGGGGAAAGTTCACAGCAAGGGAAGTGTCCTGCACTAGGAAGTAGGCAGGTAAAATGGGGAAGAAGCTCAAGACAGGGGGCACTATGCAGTAATTAGAAGCAGTGGATTAGCTGCAGCCATAGCAATATAGCTGAATCGTAAGCATACAGAACTTAATGGGGGAAAAAACCAAAATAATACATTAGCACAGTCATCTACATAAGTTAAAAAAAATGCATAAAAATAATGATATATATATTTTGCAGGAACAAAAACAAAAAGATAAACCATCGAAATAATTGTTTATGGAGTGGTGGTGGGGAATGAAGGGACTATTGTGATAATTAAATGAATCTTAGGATAGGCCAAGGTTGATGTGCCAAGAACAGAAGAGTTGGCCTCCATGCTCTGCACCTGAGGTCCTCTAACACACACGTGCACACACGCAGAAATAAAGTGGTATGGCCCAAACGTATGATGAAATGCCATGCAGCCATTATACATATTGCAGGAGCATATGCTAAGCCCCTTATAAACATCGAAATACATTTGTGTTAAAATTCAAGTGAAACTGGCCCAAGAGTTACATAGACAGTTGCTTTTTTGATAAGCATAGATATGGACCCTTCTGCTGTTAAAGCTTGAAACACGTTTATTTGAGGAGTTCCTTTCTCAGGAAAGGACCTCAGACCTCTCACAAAAAGTATTGAAGAACTGAAACCAGATTGCCACACCAGATGCCACACCCCTAATTCACTGTGATTGCTTCCTTGCCCCTCCCAAATTCCTGTTTTCTTACACATTGTTACATTTTTTATATCATTATTTCCCATGCTTCCCAATGAATCACCTGTCCCTCACATTTTTCCTTACATATTGTTACACTTTATACATTGTTTATATATGCTATATAAACCCCTGGTTTAGTTGGTCAGGGAGACGGATTTGAGACTGAGCTTCCATCTCTTATGCAGCACCCCATTAAAGCCTTCTTCCTTGGTGATACCTGTTGTCTCAGGGATTGGCTTTCTGTGCAGTGAGCAGCAGGACCTAGAACAAACTCCAGGTGTTTCGGTGACCCAAGCGGAAGAGCAGAAGAGTGGGCTGAAGAGCATGCCCACTGTTATTTCATTATTCAGCAAAACAAACAAAACAAAATACCTGTAAGTTAAAGAAACAGAGTGGCTGGTAGGATTTCAGTGATTCAAGTGCTTTCTTCTTATCTGTATATTTCCAACATGCCTTCAATGACTAGCTATAGACAATAAGAAGAAAAATTAAATTTTTTTAAGGAAGACTTTTGCTTTTAAAAAGATAAAACAAAGAGATTACAGACTGTGAGAATAGGAGGTACTGAAAAGGAGACAGTGTT